TACAAAAAAGACCGAGGGCCGATATTCTTCCAGTACGGTCCCGAGCAAGCTGGGTTAATAAGATATTTATTATACGACTGAAGTTCAAAGGGACACAAGTGCGGTATCATTCGGGACTATTCGGGACAGTGCCCGGTCCAATACTGAGAGAATATTGACCGCAATAGAGCGTTTTGATTGGTTGATTTTAGTTCTTGGCCCTCTGACTTCCCGAAGTCGTGTAATAAATGCATATGCATTACCTTTTTGATCTTGAACTATAGCAAATCGCCTTGCCAGTTAGGCCAACCATGGAGCCAACACCCAGTGGTGAAAATAAGGATATATTTTATTTATTTATTATTTATTTAATTAACTTTGACTATTGGCTGACACCAAAACTGTCAGTAAGCTAAAGAACAATCCAGAGAAAAAATAGCAGCTTTCTATGAAAATCCATATCCAAATGCACCCTTTTCAATTCTTTCAGAAGAAGAATTTGGAGTGTACCTGTCAGTCTGTTGTGGGCTTTTCCCCTTTTTTTGCCATCCCATGTCATATGACGCTCCTATCGCCTCATTTTCTGTTTCACTATCCTCTTCCAGAGGTTTCTTTCGCTTTCTAAACTTTCCAGACATGATTTCTTTGCCAACTTTTTAATTCGGGGCCCCTACTCCCCTCTCGCAAGCCTTCAGCGAGGGCTCTCCAAGTGATGGTACGTTGATAGATGACAACGACTCGTTTACGTGGGTTTGACCTATGCCTGCGTGTAGCATCCCTTTAAATATGCCGATTTAACTTATTAAGAAATTGGCCTTAAATGAGATATAAATGATTTCCTTGAATATCTTTAAGAATGATCGAGAGAAGGTAGCCTTCTTGTCCGGGGATGTCGTTTTGTTTGTAGCGTTTGAAGCGGTTTTCAGATAACTCTGCACTACGTTTCAGTGAACAAACATGATGTTGGTTATGCGAGATAAGCACAGTCGTCTTTTCAAAATTTCGTTTCCAACCTTTCTCCATTGCCTAATATCAAGTTATAAGTAAAATTTTTCTTAGATTTATCGAAAGTTTGGCTACGGCAGCTTAAGTCCACTTTTAGCCGTAAAAGGATTTTTGCGCCGCGGAAACGGCAAAAAGCAGGCTAAAACTGGCTAATTTACGGGTCAAAATATAGGAAGCCGCTATTTTCTACGAGACCGGCAAAACTTCCCTTGTTGCTTGATTAAACAGTGGTAGAGGTCACTTGTTTCAAGTCCATTTCCAACAAACAAAAAATGTAAACTTTCTTTCATCATTGCGATTCTCTTACAGTTTTGCTGACGAAAGACGGGAGAGACGACGCCTAAAACGGTTTTAGTCTCATTTATATGGTCTGTGCATGATCGACTAAAATTTTGATAAGAATTTCAATCACAGCATTGGATCCGGACGGGTTTCTCGCTAACTCTTCAAGATTTAAATTTTCAGCGCCGCTACAAATTCACTACTCTGAAGCGAGAGATTATAGAAAAATCGTGAGATCCTATAAATAACTTTGATTTTGGAGATAATGGCAAATTAATAGAAAGAGAAGGAGGCAATGAGAATTTGGGGATAGACATATAGTTGAAACTTTATTTAAGTTGAGCAAGTCAGTGAAATGGTTAACCGTATTTCTATAGAACCCATAGACAAAAGCCTTCCGGAGTCAATGTTCCCTTTCAAACCCGTTTGAGACTTATGGTTGGGTTTCATCGCGTATAGTTAGTGGTCTCTTTGTGGGAATAACTTTGCGTAATAATGGTAAAGTGTATAGAATAACAACCAGTCAAAAAGTCTAAGCGCGATGAGCGTCCGAGCGTGTTGGATTTTCCGACGCATCAGGATTCCGTGTGGTAAGGAAATATTTTCTCTCATGGGAAATTCAATTTTAAATTACTGCAAGAATGTCAAATTCTCAGCCCAGAATATGTTCTGTAAATAAGAACTGTCGTTAAGGTTAATGTTGAGCACAACTCAAAGGGCGATGTTAGGCTATTGAAGCCGTCGTCGTTTATATTTTTAGATGTTATCACGAAATTGTAAATAAAAGTATTTTCATGTGCATATGTTGCAGTTTGATATCTATAGTTTGCATGTACTGTCATTTACAAACTTCTGCTTGATCGTGGTGTCACTCGAATTTACATGAGTCTATGACGAACTTTGATGAGCTTCATTTTGACCAATGTTTTGATAGTATTTCACCCCCACAAACTTAGGTTGCGGGCAAGGAACTGACCCCGAATGGCAAATACGCTTCACCATTTCCGTGGTATACTTATGAAAATAGTTACGGTATTGAATGTATGATAGAATTTAGTCTCTTAATGCGGTTTTCGCGGAAACTGTCGCATAGCTAGCTTCGGCTCAGCGGTGCACATGCCACACACGCGTTTCTTTTCACGTTTCAGTGAACATATGCCGTGTATACATCCACTTTGCCTTTTTATCAAAGCGTTTCAAAAGTTTTCGCTCAAAATTTTCATGCTCAGGTTCAAACCAAATTTCATTAAGAGAAGTGACGTATTCCACTAAAAGTTGTTCATATACTTGATCTTCCAGTAGATCACTTAAGGCCATACTAGCGAAGAATCCTAGAAGATCAGTAAGTTTTGGCTCCACGTCAATAACGTTATCCTTCTCGCAATCTTGAGTAGAGTGACCTTCAAAATTGTTGTTGCAAATTTGATAATCATTAAAATCAAATTTTTCAAGAGCTCTTGTTTCGTTGCCGTTGTTGCCTTCTCGGTCTCTTGTGGCGCCTTCTAATAGCTTGTAGTAATAGGAAACTTCAGGTTCCAGAGCACCATTTCCTTCTTCGGTTCCCACCAGTGACCCGTAATCAACATTTGAATTATCAAGCGCTTTTTCAATCATGTCATAATAATGAGACAATTGAGAATCTCGTGATAGCTCAGTGCTACCGTCAAAACCATCTGTAGCCACGAAAGAGGAGCAATACCCAGAGCTTGAGCTTCTTCTGCTTTTTGGAACAGTTAATATGTCTGTGAATTTAGAGTGATGGCTGCCTCGTGGGGAACATTCCACAGATGATGAGTACTCCTCATAAAATTTTTCGTCGGGCTCATCTCGCTCCATATTGGACGCCATTGATGACCGTCTAGAATCCGTCTGTTGTCCGTAAGATTCAGAACATACCCCGCTAGTGTCGTCATCTATTGGAATTTTTCTAGCTTCGTCATGACGAGGTGTGGTTATGTCGACTCCAGTCTCCGTTTCAATCCATTCCTTGGCTAACGATGTAAATGAAGACCAGCTAGATGAGTGTTCTGGCTCTCTGAGGTTCTCTTGTCTTGAATCACCTACTTTCTCTATCGACGAGAAGGAATCTTCTGCAGCCTTAGCAGCTCTAAGTGGAATTCCGAGTTCACTGTCTCCGCCACTGTGGGATTGGTCCAAATATTGTTCATCTTCGTATTTTTCCCCCTGAATTTCTGCACTTTTAGATTCACTGTCGCAGTGCGAGTTTATGTTGGTCTCCGATTCAAAATGATTGCGTGATAAAGCTTCATTCTCCTGTAAGATGTCTACTTTGTCGGTTCTCACAAAATAGCATTTTAGGCGTTTTATCATCATATCCACTACTACAGCGTCCTCTGACTCTAGGAGCTCATCTTCTTGGACTTCGGCAAAAGAGTCCATCAGTATAGTTAAGAAGACGTTGAGTAAGATCATAACCATAATCATCATAAACGAGAAAAAGATGATTGGTCCTAAAGTCCGATTGTTCTCTTTAATTATCTCAAAATCAAAGGCTCCCATGACAGTATTGAATAATGTTTCAATTGTCACCAGAAGTGAGCTGTATTCAGGAAGGATACTTCCAAACAGAGAGTAAAAAAGCACACAATAAGCAATATAGAAAACGGCAAAGACGATCATAAAAGACATTAGCGGTCCTGCGGCGTTGGAAATTGTCTTTGTAAACAAGTAAATACGATGATTGAATTTCATTAGCTTGAGGAGTTTTAAGTTAGCAAAGAACACCAAAAATGCTAATAGGTATCCAAATATTTCATCCCATGTTATTGTCTCTATAAAACTGACAAACTTATCGGGTTCAGCGTTCATTCTTTCTATCGTCTGGTTTGTATAATTTGTTCTCTGCAGAAGAGCACCAGCACAAGTCAAAGTGAGAAAGATTTGCGCAATTTCAAGCCAGTTCCAAGGATCTTTTAAGTAGCTCCTTCGAAGTGTGAAAATTTTTTTCAGTTCAATATACATAAACACAAGAACGAAAACGGCGAGAAAAATTTCGCAAACTAGCATCACGAGCTGTAAGTCATTCCCGTGCTGATACAGGCGTGCAACTTTGATATTGTTGAAATAGACAATACCATTTGTTGGCATCCATTCTGTTAGAAAGGTCGCAACACCAAACAGGTTAACTTGAGCATTGTAAATAGCAACTTCGACAAAGACAGCACGGGTTCTGTAATCAATCCAGGAGTTTTGTTTAAGATTGTTTAAGTAAGCATCCGTTACGTTTGCAGATGACAGGTCAAACGCATAACCCCCGCCACTGTATGTCCCTATAAGTCCCAAGAAGGGTATACTTCTAAGTTCATCGCTTGTCTGGTATATCCATGGTGATATAGTTGCGTTAGACGTCGTGTTTGCCTCTGCCGTTACATTTGCTATTTGCCAACCAGGTAAGTAGCTGTCTTCGTCTTCCTTGAAAAAAGAGTAAAATTCATTGCAGGTGGAAATTTTCCCTCTTAAAGGTCCGGGTACTTCACAGCTTTCTGGAAAAAAATATAACAAAAAGCAAAAGTTAGGATAATTTCAGAGAAAAATAT